CTGATGAACAGAATGAACTGCTGATTATAATAGAATCAGGGACATAGAAAGGGAATGGACTGACTATTCTTGGGGTGGGGGGGAAGGGTGTGGGAGATGCGGGAAGAGACTGGACAAAAATCATGCACCTATGGATGAGGACAGTGGGTGGGGAGTGAGGGAGGAGGATGGGGTGGGAACTGGAAGGAAGGGAGTTATGGGGGGGGAAAAAAGAGGAACAAATGTAATAATCTGAACAATAAAGATTTAATAAAAAAAAGTTTTAAATAAATAAATAAATAGATAAAAAGAATTCATATGTGTTGACACATAATAAGAAGACAGAACTACTAAGACTTTAAAATTAAAATGTTTAACTTCTTCATTTTCCAACAAACTAGTCTCTTTATTAAAAAAACTACTGGAATGGGAATAGTTTTTCAAATTCCTACATTAAACATATAGAGATTATCTATGAACAAAGGAAAAAATGTGGTGATAACTTTATCAGAGGTAATCACAGTTAACTTTAAAAATGGATCTAATAAAAAATTTTAACCTGCCTTGTCCACCTTGTAACATTGTGAACATCTCTCTTTTTTAAAAAAATATATTATTGATTTCAGAGAGGAAGGGAGAGGAAGAGAAACATCAATGATGAGAGAGAATCATTGATCGGCTGCCTCCTGCACATCTCTCACTGGGGATCGAGCCCGAAACCCAGGCATGTGCCCCCGACCGGAATCGAACCCGGGACCCCTCAGTCCGCAAGCCGACACTCTATCCACTGAGCCAAACCAGCTAGGGCTTGTGAATATCTCTTGAAAGCAATATTTTTATCACTTTTAACAGTTACAAAGAATTTCTCTGTAAAGATGAATTATTTTTCCCAGACTCTATTTATGGATAATTAGTTTATTAAATCTAATCTGAATTAGATTATTTCCAGGTTTGTGTGGTGGGCTTTTTTTGCGCCTTTTTTTTTTTTTTTTTTTGCTACCATAAACAATATGGAGGAATATGTTCACTGCAAAATCTTTATGAACATCCATGATTACTTCCTTGGGTACATTCTTACAAGTGGAATTCTGGATCAAAGAATGTGTATGTTTTAAAGCTCCTATTGCCTGTTGCCAGATTACCTTCTAATTTACACTCCTATTGGCAGGGCATCAATAATCTTTTTCTCCATGTTCTTGCCAACATCTGGAATATTCTTACCAACCTTTTTTCTGTGGTAGTCAGTTTTATAGATGGAAAGTTATCTCATTATTTTAGTTTATATTTTTATGACCACTAGTAAGATTTACCTTTTTTCCCCCAAAGTTTTTTGGTAAATTGCATTCTTTTAGTATTTGCCTATTTTCTTTGTTTTAAAAGTAGTAATTTTTCCTAACAATGTATTAGAAAAAACATATGGAGATTTTCTATGGATAATTCTGTGTCAAATCATGAGTTCTTTAACATGTAATCTTTATACAAACAATTTAAGAAACAAACAAGTTTAAAGCCCTTCTCCAAATTCTAATTCTTTCATTCCCCCTAAGATAATTACCAGTATATTGTCGACTTTCAGTTTAAAGATTTTTTTTTTTTCTTTAGAGAGAGAGGTAGGGAGAAACAGAGGGGGAGGGAGAGGGAAAAGAGAGAGAGACAGAGAGAAAGATATCAATGAGAGGGAAACATTGACCGGCTGCCTCCTGCATGCCCCCTACTGGAGGTCAAGCAGGGAACCCAGGCATGTGCCCTGACCAGGAATCAAACCAGCTACCTTTCTGTGCATGGGACAATGCTCAATCAACTGAGCCACACTGGCCAGGGGTCGTGTGGACTTTTAAGTGTAAGTGCACATATGCAATTAAATATTATTTATTTATTTTTAAAATATATTTTATTGATTTTTTACAGAGAGGAAGGGAGAGAGCTAGAGAGTTAGAAACATCGATGAGAGAGAAACATCGATCAGCCGCCTCCTGCACATCTCCCACTGGGGATGTGCCCGCAACCCAGGTACATGCCCTTGACCGGAATCGAACCCGGGACCTTTCAGTCCGCAGGCCGACGCTCTATCCACTGAGCCAAACCGGTTTCGGCAATATTATTTATTTTTAGGGAGCTTTCACTTTTTTGTTGCTATTGAGAGTCTATATTTTTGAACTTAACTTTATTTTCTTGGTTTTAAAAAAGTAGTTCTATCATCTACAAATAATGATATTTCTTTGCTTGCATTTAGGTATTCTAATTTCTTGTAACAGCTACACTTCTAAACAACCATAAACAAAGTGGTATTCAGGACAATGTGGGAATGCCCTGTACAATCAAATATGGTTTTGGCTATTCACTTGAAATGGGTTTTTAATAATCATGTCAAGAAAATATTGTTTCTAGTTTGTTTTTTAGATTTTTAAAAAAGAGAAAGGATTTGGCTTTTAAAACACATTAAAGATTAAAAGCCCCCACACATAATAAGACATATACTTACAATAACAGATGCTCATCAGGAACTGTAAAAACAGGGATGGAAAGAAAGTTAATCATATTAAACCAGTGACCACAAACATAAAAATGAGCTTATGGATCTAATTTTACTCCTTCCCAATATTCCACTAAACAATAACAAGACTTTTCTAAAAGCATAAACTAAAAAAATAAAATAAAATGCATAAACTCTCTAGGATAATGACAGGGAGAAACAATATCTAAGAAAGGAAAAGAACTTTTTCAGACATGTAAAACCTCAAAAAGTACATTTCATGTACCTTTCCTTCAAGAAGTTGCTAGTCAGTATCTATACTAATAAAAGGGTAATATGCTAATTAGACTGGACAAAGCCACAGTGGTGGGGCCGAGGCAGAGGGGGTTAGGGGCGATCAGGCCAGCAGGGGAGAGCAATTAGGGGCAATCAGGCAGGCAGGGAGGCGAGTGGTTAGGGGAGATCAGGCAGACAGGCAGGCGAGTGGTTAGGAGCCAGCGGTCCTGGATTGCGAGAGGGATGTCCGACTGCCGGTTTAGGCCCAGCAGTAGGACATCCCCTGAGGGTTCTGGATTGGAAAGGGTGCAGGCTGGGCTGAGGGACTCCCCCCAACCCCTGCACAAATTTAGTGCACCGGACATCTAGTGGGTTCTATAAAATGAAGCAGCAGACTAAGAAAACAAAAATTGTAGGAACTTAAGGTTCACCATCAGTAATGGGAATCCCGAGATAAGAATGGTGGAGGGAGCTCTGGAGAGAGCTTGGAGAGCAGCCGGTCCACAGGAAAATGAAGCTGATAAAACATCTCGTTCGTCTCAACACCTAGCGGACAGGTTTAGAGCCCTGATGATGAGCTTGAGGTTGAGTGAGGGATAAACATACAGAAAACTAAAGAAGCCAATGTACACACAACAGCTGCAACTCCAGGAAAATAAGAAGTTACACAGGAAAGGAAAAGTAATCCTAGCTTCCTACATGGCTCGGCGGTGCCTAGTTTCACATCATACAAATGCTCTGAGAAGTATTACCACGGAAAGGGGGTGGTCAGGGAGAGTATGACTGTCTAGCGCAGCTTTTTAAACAGCAGACAGTTCTGCTGAAAATGATCAGGCCTCCATGGCGGCGGCCGCCTGGACGAGGAGGGTCCCGGCGGCCTGCAAACCGGCCTCAGCGCAGCGCCAAGGCCCTGGGACAGGGCGCACTCCCGGCGACCACCGAGTTGACACCAGGCTGACTTTCTACCTACCCTTTTTGGGACTGGAAGGCGTTTGAATTCCTCGCTGACCTAATCTTTTAGGCATATATATTGCATTAGTTTTAACTGAAATGAGAAAAAAGACTGGCTTTGCTCTTCTCAATTCTTAAAAAAAGCAGTAACTCCAGATAAGCCCTTTAAAAGTGCAGTCCTTTTAACAGAAGTGCCAGCCAAGTGAGTAAGCAGCGGCAGTTCTGAGGCCTCATCTGCTATTTCCTCAATGGCCTTGTGTGCACCGGTGGAGTGGCTCCCCCCAGTCGGTGCGTTTGTTCAGAGCGGAAGCCGAGCGTGGTCAGAGCGCCCTCTGCTGACCCGCGGGGAAAAGGTGCCTGCACAATATTCAGGTTTCTCCAGTCACTGCCTGTGCATTTGGGTTTTGTGGCCCTAAAATACTTATTTGCTGAATAAAGTATGTGAAAGGATTAAAGTTAACAGATTTTGAGAAAAAAGAGTGTCGGCACGTTTAATAAGTTAAGCTTTTACCTTCCTCTAGGCCTGCGGGCTCGGGAGCCCGCCCGCCCGGCCTCCCCTGCTCCCGCCCCGCACACGCCCGCCCGCCGGCGCCCGCGCCCTCGGCCCGCACCGCGCGCGCTCTCCCGCACCGCCGCGGCCATCTCGCTCAGAAGCTCCTCCACCACGGCCGGCAGCGTGACCGCCCGCGAGGCCGCAGCCATCGGCCTGCGGGTGCGGCCTCCTCTGAAGGCCCGCGGAGCTCCGCGCGGGCGGGTCTGTGGAGGGAGCCCAGCACCGGCCGCGGGCGGGGGCCCTCCGGCGGCGCAGTGACGTCCACCTTACGTCATCGCGCATGCGGACAGCTCGGCTGACGCCTCGCTAC